GGTTTGATCTTGTTGTTGGCCAAGAAAGTTCATCAGGATTTTCCGACATGGTTCCCCCTTGTTAGTGGTGTATGACATGGAGGGGCCTAGCAAGGTATGGCGTACGGTCCTGTGTAGGCCTACACAAAGGCAAGGCATCTAATAGATACTGTGATAGTTAAAATTCAAATTAAGAATAGGCCAAAATTTTCTGAATGCCCGTTTTCATTAGCTCATTCTGAGTAGAAAAGGAGGACATCAAGCGGTTTTAAATTTCATTTCATATCTCTCATAACACTTGCTATAAATAACCACCATTTTGGTGTTGCCTACTAATCAATATTTGTGCATATCAGATCGTAACTTCCGTAGTTATGGCCCCTGATTGTACGTAAAATTGCATTTTTCACTTGTGGTCCCTCTAGATGTCACAATTATCAGATTTTAAAACCAGCGACTGCCAGGCAAGATACGGACACATTTTGCAAGAGATGGATAGAGAACAAGCTGAAAACAAAAGCAATTTTTTTTTGTACAATCAGGGGCCATAATCCAGAAAGTTATGGTATTTAATGCGCAAATATTAAAAGGGACAGAGATCTTTGGCATATAAAGATATGTTTTTAAGTTTCATCAAAATCGAATAAAAAGTGTCACTTCAAGAGGGTCCACAACGCGGCACAACCCTCATATTGCATACTTTTACACAATTTGCATAAAAAGAGCAGCCACTTTGTCCAGCAGTTTCAATTCAATTTTCTCGAAATTCGTATTCAACCTTAATTATGGTGATATATTTAAACGTTTTTGATACGCCCAAAAAATGGCCGCTGTTTGACTGCAAATAGTGTAAGAGTATGTAATCCCAAGGTTGTGTACACTCTAGAAGTCACAATTTTTATACGCCCACATTTTCATGTGGACGTATATTGCAGTCACTACAGGTCACAATTTATATCCGATTTGGCCGCTGTTTGACTGCAAATAGTGTAAGAGTATGTAATCCCAAGGTTGTGTACACTCTAGAAGTCACTACAAAACAGGTCACAATTTATATCCGATTTTGACGAAACTTGAAATATAGGTTAACCTCAAAGATTTTGGTTCCTTTCGATATTCGCACATATCGGACTGTAACTTATGGATTATGACCCTTGATTGTACGAAAAATCGCGTTTTTAGCTTGTGGACCCTATAGAGGTCATAATTTTTATCCAATTTAAAAAAACGTGTTACTAGATCACCGTTACACCCTAAGGATGGTTAAGTTCGAATTTCGTGAAAATCGGCCAAAAACTGACAGACAAAATGGCCGTCCCTCATTCTCAAATAGCGTAAAAATATGGTATATCAAGGTTGTGGACCCTTTAGAGGTCACAATTTTCTTCTGATTTTGATGAAACTTGAAATGTAAGTTTATAACCCAAAGATCTTGGTTCCTTTCGATATTCGCACATATCGGAACATAACTTCCTCAATTATGGCCCCTGATTGTACGAAAAATCACATTTTTTAGTTTGAGGACCCTATGGAGGTCACAATTTTATTCTGTTGTAAAAAAACGTTTGAATATATCACCGTTAAACCTTAATGACGGTTGAGTTCGAATTTCGTGAAAATCGGACGAAAACTGCCAGACATAATGGCCGCCCCTCGAACCAAACAATGTAAATATATGGTATATTAAGATTGTGGACCCTCTAGAGCTCACAATTTTGATCCGATTTTGATGAAACTTGAAATACATGTTTATAACCCAAAGATCTTGGTTCCTTTCTACATGTATATTTGCGCATATCGGATCGTAACTTCCTAAACTATGGCCCTTGACTACGAAAAATCGCATTTTTAGCTTGTGGTCCCTTTAGAGGTCACAATTATTATCCGATTTAAAAAACTGTGTGAATATATCACTTTTACACCGTAATGATCGTTGAGTTCATATTTCGTGAAAATTGGACCAAAATTGAGGGACAAAATGGCCGCCCCTCGTATAACGCAAATGGTGTAAATATGTGGTTGTAGACCCTCTGGAGGCCACAATTTTTTTCCGATTTTGGATGCAACCTTAAATTTATGCTTATATCACAAAGGTCTTGGTTTCTTTTTGAAATTCGCACATATCGGATCGTAACTTCCTGAATTATGGCCCTTAATCGTATGAAAAATTGCATTTTAATCTTTTTATCCAATTTAAAAGAACGTTTGAATATATTACCCTTACACACACCCTAATGATGGTTGAGTTCGAATTTCGTGAAAATCGGGACAAAATAGCCGCCCCTCGTAAAAATATGGTATATCAAGGTTGGGGATTCTCTAGAGGTCACAATTTTCTCCCGATTTTGATGAAACTAGAAATTGCGTTTTCAGTTTGTGGTCCCTCAAGAGGTCACAATTATTATCCGATTTTAAAAAATATTTGAATATGTTATCGTTAAACTGAATTGTTGGTTGAATTTGATTTTCTTGAAAATCGGGCCAAAACTGCCAGACAATATGCTGGTAACATGAAATACATGTACGAATATGAAGAACTGTAATTATTTTGAGATAGATAATGTAGAAATATGGACCAAATACTTAAACTTTATTCCAACAATCTGCCATTTTGCTTTCCATATTATCCATACATCCAATCTTAAAAGTATTATTCGCTATGTAAATTTAATCTTTTATCTGGACTGGCGACCAGCTGGAAAGCTTTCAATCTCAATTTTTTTTTTATTGTGAATCTGGCCTACAGCTAATAATTGCGTCTTTCCTGCCTCCTTTTGGCAATACTGATTACACTTCCATCAAGTCTATATTGATTTTGACATTTTTGTCAGCCTAGGGTTAAATTTTACCCAGTAATAATATAGTTCTATCTATTACTCAGTCATATGAAACTGGGCTGTGCCTGTGGGCAAGAAAATGCATTAAGTTGGTTGCCTAAGGTGTTGGCAGGTGTTTTGCTAGGCCAGGCTACTATAATAGCAAGTTTGATTGCTGTGTTATTCAGTTTATTTACAAAAATTCAACATTAATTTAACAAGTGGTATTACATCTGTATAATAATTCTTATTTTCTTCCTTCTAAATACTTGCATTTCTACATTTTTGCTTGAATTTAATCACACCAGGTTTCCAATCTGTTTTCTTTTCTTTAGATATTGGCAGTATGTTAATAACTAAAGAAATCGGTTCAATACTAATGAAAAATCATGGATTTTTTTGTCAATTGCTAATTGGTAGAATATTGACTCTGGCATTGATGGGGTTTTTTATGTGCCCACATTTAAATGTTATGACTGTCGTGCACATTTCCTTTTGGTGGTGACCCTCTTATCATCTCACTGACATTACAAATTATGCTCAAGAGGCTAAAGTTATTGTCTGATTGAGTTGAAATTTATAATCAGTGTTTATGCCCACCCTCCGCTGAAGTATTATATACTAGGTTCTACATGTCAAATTTATCAAGATTCTTTTTATATCCCCACATGGAAATGTGGACATATATTGCCGTCGCCCCCGTCTTTCATCCACAATTTCTTGTGAACGCCAAAAGTTATGATTCAATTGTTTTAAAATTGATATATGTTGTTGACATTAGTGAGATGAAGAAACCTATTTAATTTTGATTGTTTTAAAATAGATATATGATGTTGAGAGGAAGAAGCCTATTTATTTTCAATGTCTAGAGACACTAAAGTTATGACCCTTGTTTCACTTTATTGAACCTTGTGAACGCTCTAACGCCAAAAGTTATCATCCGATCTTTGTGAAATTTATATGCCTTATTTGAATTAGTGAAATAAAGAAACCTATTGAATTTCAGCAATTTCCCTTAATTACTTATAGAGTTATGGCCCTTGTTATCTGCCGATCTGTATGAAATTTATGTGTCATTCAGTAAAAAGAAGAATCCTATTGAACTTCAGCAATTTCCATTGATTAATTCTCGAGTTATAGGCCTTGTTTCACTTTGATGCACCTTGTGAACGCTCTAACATCAAAAGTTATCTGCCGATCTGTACGAAATTTATATGCGTCATTTAAATTAGTAAAAAGAAAAATCCTATTGAATTTCAGCAATTTCCGTTTATTATCTCTTGAGTTATGGCCCTTGTTTCACTTTGTTGAACCTTGTGAATGCTCTATCGCCAAAAGTTATCACCTGATCTATATGAAATTTATATGCATCATTTGGATTAGTGAAATCACAAAGCCTATTGAATTTCAACAATTTACAATAATTACTTCTAGAGTTATGGCCCTTGTTTCACTTTGTTCATCCTTGTTAATGCTCGATTGATTAAAGTTATAATCCGATATGTATGAAATTTACATGCATCATTTAAATTTGAGAAACGGAGGTCTATTGAATTTCATCAGTTTCCGTCAATTATTTCTAGAGTTATGGCCCTTGTTTTACTTTGTGAACGTTCAAACGACAAAGTTATCATCCAATCTGTATGAAATCTATATGCATTATTTAAATTAGTAAACGAAAAAGCCTGTTCAATTTCTAAATTTTCTGTATATTATTTCCCGAGTTAAGGCCCTTGTTTCAGTTTGTAGAACCTTGTGAACCCTCAAACGACAAAAAATTTTAATCTGATCTGTATGAAATTGTCTTGTAAATGCCCCCACTTACCTACAAAAGAATTAAATATGTGTCGACCGGTCGGACAATTTAGGTGCTATGGGTGTATGTTTCTTTGCCTGGCAACCTATTTTTCATATTGTTTGAGTAGTATGTACCCCAGGAGGAACCCTTTAAAAATTCAGTCATGCAACAATTTTTTAAGGGAAAAAAATGAAACTTAACTTGTGAAATCTCAACAGTAAGTTTTCATATATTTTTCAAAACATATCAAGATTGTTAGGATGGTCAAAAAGAGGTCACATATCAATTTTATACACCATTATTGTACCTACCAATGCAAAATATGAATCCACCTTTTAAAGAGCTGCAGGTGGCCACATATCCTAGCCATGCTATGTTATTTAATTTTAAACTTTGTATAATTATAGGACCACCACCAGGAATGCGAGGACCACCTCCAAGATAATCATAAAACTTCATCATCATCAGTATCATTTGTATAAAGACATTGGAGAATTTCTTTCAAGTTGAAGAATTTAATTCTAAATTAATACTAAATATGATGAGAAATTTTAAGGGAAATTTCCAGCTGTCATTGAAACTAATGAAAGGGACAATTTTGAATATAGTGTTGAGCCAGACTGAAACACAGATAAAATATTTTTTAAGTCTTGTATGATGTTCACTGGGACAATTGTATCATTTCTTTTTTACATCATGATTATAATTCTTGTATCATTTGTACATAAATCATTAAAATCCATCATTATCAATAGTGTTTTAATTTTTATTGTCCCCCGCCTTTCGAAGAAAGCAGGGGACTATTAAAATGGGTTCGTCCGTCTGTCTGTCCGTCTGTCTGTCCGTCTGTCCGTCCGTCTGTCTGTCCGTCACACTTTTTGGGACACAATAACTCTCTTCCTAATTGAGCTAGAATGTTCAAACTTGGTGTATGTGTTTATTAGGTCAATGCCTTGATGGAGTTCGAAGATGAGCATTTTCCGCTTAGGGTAAGCAGAGATAAGCAATTTGATTGGTTGATGCTTTGGGACACGATAACTCTCTTCCTAATTGGGCTAGAATGTTCAAACTTGGTGTATGTGTTGATTAGGTCAATGCCTTGATGGAGTTCGAAGATGAGCATTTTCCGCTTAGGGTAAGCAGAGATAAGCAATTTGATTGGTTGATGCTTTGGGACACGATAACTTTTAATTGAGCTAGAATGTTCAAACTTGGTGTATGTGTTTATTAGGTCAATGCCTTGATGGAGTTCGAAGATGAGCATTTTCCGCTTAGGGTAAGCAGAGATAAGCAATTTGATTGGTTGATACTTTGGGGCACGATAACTCTCTTCCTAATTGAGCTAGAATGTTCAAACTTGGTGTATGTGTTGATTAGGTCAATGCCTTGATGGAGTTCGAAGATGAGCATTTTCCGCTTAGGGTAAGCAGAGATAAGCAATTTGATTGGTTGATGCTTTGGGACACGATAACTTTAGTTCTAATTAAGTGAGATTGATGAAACTTGGTGTATAGTTTCATTACAGTAATACCTTGACTAAGTTTGATAATGAGCATTTTCTGCTCAGGGTAAGCAGCAATTTGATTGGTTGATACTTTGGGGCACGATAACTCTCTTCCTAATTGAGCTAGAATGTTCAAACTTGGTGTATGTGTTGATTAGGTCAATGCCTTGATGGAGTTCGAAGATGAGCATTTTCCGCTTAGGGTAAGCAGAGATAAGCAATTTGATTGGTTGATGCTTTGGGACACGATAACTTTAGTTCTAATTAAGTGAGATTGATGAAACTTGGTGTATAGTTTCATTACAGTAATACCTTGACTAAGTTTGATAATGAGCATTTTCTGCTCAGGGTAAGCAGAGCGATACGCAATTTGATTGGTCGAGACTTTGGAAAACAATAACTCTCCTACTTTGATTGTTAGACTATAAGTAAAGATATACTGTTTGATTGTTCAATACTTTGTAAAAGATAATTTGTGATAAATTTATATGTGTCCTCTAATTATTTTCCTTTTCGGCGGGGGACATCAGCCTCACTGTTGGCTTGTTTTTATTGAAACTTGCATGTTCATTGATCTGAAATATTTTAGACAAAGGTGCTGTGAATTTGAGAACCGGATGTTGTAATTATGCAGTGTTTATATTAAAGATACATTATGGGAGATTAGATAAAGTGCTGGCAGTTCTCACTGTAATAGTTCAAAACTAGGTAATGTAAAGGGAATTTGCTGAAAATTTCAGTCAAATTGATCCACTCTGAACCGAGATTTTATTGATTGAATTTTCGGCATAGCCTCGATCATCATTACTAAAGTCGGTACAATAAAAAAAAAACATAGTCTTGATTATCCATTTCATGATTAGTCTCGATTATCCATTTCATGATTAGTCTCGATTATCCATTTCATGATTAAATCATGAATGAAAGTTAAGCAGCAAATCTGATGGTAATCCAGTAAATATCGCAGGCTAGCGTTGACACCGAGAGTTGATTGTGGTCTGGATAAGTTAATTAATGTCTAATTAATAATTCAGATAACATTTCAGGCATAGAGAAAGACCTGTTATGGGCATAATTAACTCTTGCATAATGTATGTTTAAAGTGTAGACATTATATTAAATTTAATTTATTGCCCTTTTTAATATGCCATATTTTTGGGACATTGTGCAGAACAAAATTCCCCAATATTTGTTACATTTATCTTAATAGTTCAAAATGATCCAGTTTGAAAAATTTGAATTGTATACAGCCATCCACCCTGTCGGGTGTTCTCAATTCTGGTCATTATTACACCGTCAAAGTGTCTAAAAGTGGATATCATGAATGAATTTATCAGAGTTAAGCCCTGTTTATTTAAAACAAAATTTTGTAAGCACGCCAGAGGTTGCAATTACCAGTTGATCTTATCACAGTTTATGTGGGTTTATCTATTTGAAGTGTCCCAAACCATTGTTGTCCAAAGGGGTCTGGCGCCGCCTTTGCTTCGGTTCAAACACCCATTCTGATACAGCTTACATTGTCCATCTATTTGAAGTATCCCAAACCATTGTATACTTAGAGGGGTCTTGCTTCGTTTCAAACACAAGTTCTGATGCAGCTGAATGGCAGTCAATGAATGACCATAGCTTCTAACTAGAGGAGCAAAAAATACTGCCCCAGAAAGACTGTTGTATATTGTATTCATCTTGTGGAAATTATTTCCTGTTACTAAATCGTTTTATGGCAGAAACAGGGGAACAGTTTAATGGTCTTCATTTTGGGAATTATACTCTACATACTGGACCCCACCCCACCCCCCAACGTCAGTGATGCAAGATGGAGGGCTTGACAAGGACAGCTGTCTAGTGGTTCGGATGGGACAAATAACCGTGGTCCCAAAGATACACATTGGCGTGCGCGTAATTCGATATGAGTGTATGCTGTAGTGCCGCTGTCCGGGCACACTGGTTCGCGTATGCCCGTCTTCATTAGTCCAGTTCAGAGCAGAACAGTGGGACGTTGAACCCCATTTCATTTCATTTACATACTGGAACCATGTCTATCTGTGCTGATTACTGGTACTTTTTAGCCCGGCTGAAGTTAGTCGTAAAAAGAAATAGCAGACGACAATCTTATAGATCCAGCCAATATTTGAACCCTATATTTTTGCCTTGGTTTTTACTAAAATTACATGACCACTGTTATCAGAACAACGTCGACATCCTTGCCATAAAATACAAACCACGACTCATTCATTCGTTAATATACTGGCGCCCTATGAAAAGACTATACAACGGGGGAATGGTCATTGAATACCGATATGGTTCGTTCCTCATAACACAAATGCTTCACACCAGATTTCAACAATATCGGACCGTAACTTCCTAGACTATGGTCCCAAATTGCACGAAAAATCGTTTTGTTTTTTAACTTATCCGTCCATCTCTTGCATGGCAATCGCTTGTTTTCTAATCTCGATGAATCAATTCTTTATATGAAAATTTGGATTGTCTGATAAAACAACCCTTCGTCTTCACAGGAATTACCACTGAGCTTAAAAGTGCCCCCTTTACCCCCTTCAGATATGAGTTAATTCGACTTCCGCGTACAACATTATTCCTTTTGTTATAAGTTTCACTATTGGTTCAAGAGAGCATAACACGAAGTACCAGTATTATAGAGCGGAGCTTGGAGCTGATTTAGATAACGACTCTGAAAGCTCCTGACGTCCATTCTGATTCAGACGGATCTATATTTTTAGCCTTATTTGTTCGTTTCGTTCCCCCCGTTTGTATTTTTCTTTCGATGTATATTACTATAATTCACCATAATATGTCTATCCGTCCAACTCTCCATACCGCAAAAACGTGGACATAATTCCATGTAGATAGTTTACCTAAAGTACCATCATGTACATGACAAATATTGAAGAACCTATCCCACAAGATAATATAGTCTATGAAACACTACAGCGGGCACAGAAATGTACCCAAGAACAGAATCAAGAGTACGGAATAGTGACGTATATGATCTTGGTACGGCTAAACCTGCACAATGTATTTGTTGTGCCTGGTGCATTTTATCTAGAGATGGCGTATTTCAGTGCTATATAGGCAAACTCATAGATGTGTCAGGTGCTCCAGAAATTCTGACGGAAAGCGAGGTTCTGGCACAAGGTTCGCTCAGAGGGTTCATCAGTCGTTCGAACTACAATAGATGCAAGCGGCTACCTTCACTTCTTGCCCTTAGTAGTGTGTGGTGTTAAATATGAAGTTTTTCGGGGTCCCCTCCAAAAGTTGTAGTTACCCTATCCATGTATGAACATGCTTTTTAAAAGGGCGAGTTTCTTTAGGTTTTGGCGAGGTCATTATGGTATTACTTTAGTCTAGAAGCACACCATAAGCACAAACATAGGTGAGTAATAGACAAATATAGTTGAGTATGTAGACAAGTATACATAAAATGTTTTATAGACAAGAAAATGTAATGGTAAATGTTAGACAGGTCGTTAAACACTGAGAACATATCAACACTTATGAAATTTGTGGAAATATTGCCCCCATCATGGATTTACGCCATTGTGGAAAGTTGAATCTTGAATTTAACATCACCAATGAACTCAGCGACCCCCATAACCCTGCTACAGAGTCCAGATGGGGTTTATACAGGGAGAAATAATGACGATATTCACCCCCCATTTTAACGCCCCTAACATCAGGGGTGTGTACAGGGGAGTTGGGGGGGGGGGTAGAAAATAATAAAAAAAATATGTTCATAAATGGGTAGTACAACTTTTGAAGGGGGGCCCGAATTTGAACATCAACATTTGTAAAATAACACCACCGACTACCCTTAGCATGGAAAAGCTACACTTTAATTCGTTCGTACGAAGTCAAACGTCAGAGGAAGTCGCCAGTATGAAACAGTCTTTACAGGCTTGGATTGAGGATTTTCCAGAAGAAACGTTTAAGACAATCAAAACTTCGGAAGAATTCAAGGTATGGATAAACAAGTATATTGTATTTGTCCACGCTACGCTGAATGGAGCAAAATTGGTAGGGTTATGTTCAAAATGTTCATCACTTTCGCGTTCTTGAACGTGCTATCCGTACGAACGATCTAGACTTGTTTACTAAGTTTTTAACCCCAATTATGGCCATTTTCATCGCAACCAACCACTAAAATTACGGCAGGTACATTTTGAAGTTTCAGCTAAACCTAATGAACGTAGATGATACCCACCCAGGTCTTCGAGACATCTTAAAGCGCGGAGCTTCACGGTACGACACAATGACAAGTCATTCAGTCGATGCCCTGTGGATTTAGTTGTGGGACAGACAGTAAACAAGGACGCATCATCTCGTAAAACCGGTACGGTTGGAATGGACTGTTCTGCGCCAGTGAGATGGACTCTAACAAAAACCTTAAGCACCGAAATATATCAGGTTTGTCAGCCTTCATCCACAGCGAATCTATCTTGTCACTGATTCATACGCAAAGCCCTCATTCAAAGATGATGAACACCAGAGAAGAGGCGAAGATGATTTTGAAATCAACTATGTCATCGATGGTCCTGAACAGCACATTGCTGGGACATGAGCTCAAATAGGAAGCGAAGTTCTTCAAACGAGCATTGTCGACTTTTCTCATAAACGAGTGGCAAAAAGACGCATACTCTATGTTCATAGAATCCAGACATGTTTATGTCGTACATTTGGGCAGTTGTTGCCGTTTCTGGACTGAAGGTGGTCAGGTTACACGCGACGTAAATACCAGACCATCGAATAACGATCAAATGGCTGATATAATGGTTTGCTGTGTCTTCAAGCATCTGGATGAACTAGGTTATGATAACGTTGCAGTACGTGCAGATGACACGGACATATCAGTCATTTTGATTCATCACAGTTAACAGTTCGGTTGTAAAGTTTGGCAAGACACTATGGTACCACATCGAAAAATAGCCGACGCTTCATAAATTTGAGTGGAATAGCCGTGAAGTTTGGTAGTGATATTTGCCGCGCTTTACCGGCATTTCATAGCTTTACTGGATACGATTACACGGCAACATTCTACATAAAGGGCAAGAAAATGCCATTCAAGAAATTCAGGGCAGACCCTAAAGTTCAGAAGGCGTTTATAGATTAAACTTTTGGAAATACCATGGGAGAAAACACGGTCCAGGTGCTAAATCAGTTCGTTGCTAGTATGTATGGTGCTCGCAATAAACAGCTTACACTTAACGAATACAGACACCAACACATGGAAAGGGCCTTTTTGTCCAAAGGTAAAAATCCATTAAAATCGGTAAAAGGTATCGACGGGTCAATGATTCCACCTTGCAAGGCGGAAATATGCACCAAAATTAGGTGAACTGCATTTATCGCAAAGATGTGGTCGTGCAGTGACAAACAATATATACATCGATTCCCGATTAACAGTACGGATGTGAGCTAATCGTTGACCATTTCGAAAAAATCTGGTTCGGCGGAGATCAAATGCCAGATGTTCTCGTTCCTAAAGATGTAAACAGTAAGGAAGAAGAAGACGACGTACAATTAGAACATGCGTGTCAGATGAAGGCGAAATATTATATTCGGACTAAATACACATTCGCACGATTTTTGGCATGGGTCACAAAATAACTGTACCAGGCGAAATGTTTTTTTGGCTTTTTTTGTTAAATGTCATTATTATTGTTCACTTTATCACGCTGGTATACATATTGCTGTTTAGTTTATCATGTTCAAGTTCAGCTAGATGCATCAGCAAGTCACTCATCGAATATATATGCGGATATATTGTAATTTTCAGCTTTTGGAGTTTTCGTTTTGTTTGTACTGGATATAACAATCCATGGTGAACATAGTTTTAAAGTTGTTTTTGGTTTCGTTTAACATGTTTACCAATATCAGGAGATGTTTTGAGCAATCTGATTAAAATACAGATCAATATTTCGTTTCGTTTTTTTTTATACTTTCGATGGCCTACACAACATGAAGATCTGACCGGTTGTAGCGATAGGTCGCGTCAGAGGTCATACGAGCGGCTTTTGACGCTATGACGTCAGACATTTGATTAACCAATCAGCATTGATGCTACTAGTGGATTACCCACAGTTCCGTGCAAAACACGCCTCAAGCTCGCCGTAACAGACCTTTTCATTGCCAAATCCCTCACACCATTCAGAACACGTCAATGATAACAACTCTTCCAGACCCTAGTGTAGTAAAGACAAGTAAAACGAAATTTTGAACTATAAAATCGAAACGAAATAGGATCTGTGTTTTAATCAGATTGTGTTTTGAGTCTATTAAGACGTTTTCGGCAAATCCGCCTCTAGTTTCCGACGATTTTTTATGCTCACCCGAGAACGTATGGGGATTTCTACCTTACTAGAAGAGACAGGTAGCGACGGCTTCTAGTCTACACCAAATACCCGGGAAATATGTACATACGAGTTTTTTTCTGTTCAGTTTCATTTGCTCCCCGTGTTCTGCTCGTTTTAATCAGACAAAGGTGGAGATTTTATGTTCTTATGTTATAGGTATTGTCTAGAGGCCCATTAATGAAACATTTAACGAAAAAAAAACGGTCCAACAACCCGTTTTGTCGTTCTTATCCGAGATAGAAGGGGATTTCGCGTTCTTAAGTTAGTGTTATGTTCTAGTGGACCAATAGTGAAACTTTTTACGAAACAATTAATGTTGTACGCGGAAGTCGAATTAACTCATCTCCGAGGGGTGTAAAGTGGGCGTTCTTAAGGGATGAAGTAAGGGTCGGGGGTCTTCTTTTTGATTACATCTGAGGTTGACCGAATTATGCACGAAAGTTGAATTAAATCGTCATTTCAACCTTGGGTTCGCCGTTTTGTCGTTCTTATCCGAGATAAAAGGGGATTTCGCGTTATTAAGATAATGTTATGTTCTAGTGGACCAATAGTGAAACTTCTTATGGAAAAAAAATAATGTATGCGGGAGTCAAATTTACTCATCTCTGACTATTTGAAACTGCCATTATAAGCATTTCTTACACGCACTAAAGATTTAAACATCCGTCATCATCCTTGAATAGGGCATATCTTCGTCTAAGATACTATTAAGATCTACTTGGTCGTTTCCTTTTGGGCGTCAGTAAATATTGTTCCCCATTTCACGTGAGATGTCCAGTCCAACAACTCAGTTTATCAATGACTTTATTTACAAAGCTGATGGATTTCGATCGATCGTCCAGTAGTAAAACAAACATAAACATTACAAAATATAACAAGATTTCACAAAACAATAATCATTGAATATTATATAATACACATTAATAGTTTAGAGTAAAAATTAGGAAATTAGCGCTAGATCTGGATTGTGGTGCACATCAATGTAAAGAGTATGTTCAGATTTACTTAGAACACATTAGATGGAAACCATTGGGTCCCACACGACGCATTCCCCCGAAAACTTACGTCCAAATGCCACCAAGGGTGACTTTCAGAGAAGTTTTTTTTTGATATACCGAACTCTATTTAAATGAAATAATCCCCAAAGTTTATCGTTTGAGATAAATTGCTTCAGAGACGTCTTCTGGTCTATGGCACTCTCCATAACTTTTACCTCTGTCTATTACACAGATCGATTATTTTCACCTTTGGGCTTTGGATCATTGTGTAGGTTTATATAAAAAGAATTTGACCGCCGATTGGTTGCGTTAAACCAATACATGTATATTTTGAAGACTGTCCCATTAAAAGTTCACCCTTACTGTTACACTAGTTTGTCTTTGTGTATATGACTCTGAGACTAATACTCTTTAAGACCATTGGTAATATATTTTAATGTAAATTAACTGAGGTTCCTAAATTTGTGCTGTATTTTCCCAACAGAAAATAATAAAAAAAATATCACAGGACATGAGTATATTATGAAAGAAGAAAAGACATTTAAAAAGAAACGTCTAACACAATGATTTACAATTTCTGCAGAAAAGATATTCACTAAACTGTTGCCCTTCGACCCCACCGCCTGTTGAAGCAATGATCTTAAAGCTGTGGTTTAGTAAACGCAGAATAACCTGTATTGAGTTCAATTTACAGAAACCATTTAATGGAAATCTGATTATGTAACGATTGTCCATGTTCCATCCAGAATTACGCGTGTCCACCAACGCAGCCGACAATTCCGGGAACACCTCTTCAATTAAAGCTCGCTCCGCACTTAAAGAGATTCTTTCTCCTAGATCGGGACTGATGCTGACTGCTATGCAATCACAGAATTCTGGCGAGGTATTGGGTTCTGTTTTGATCTGACTTGGCAGTTTTATGCCTGCCATGCCTATTTTCGCGGCTCTGAGCATTTCAACCTCTTTGGCCATTCCACCGATATCGTAGAATCTTGATTCTTCCAACAGCTGGTCAAATTCTTCGAAGTTAGAAGGCAAAAGAAGTCGCTGTGATCGCAGGTAGTTTAAAATATAGCGAAACATCTTGCCATCACGATCTATAAAGTAATGCTGCTTGAGGCTATCCAGAACTATTGGAATACTCCCATTGAACATGCGAGCCAGCCTGGATTCGGGGTATCTGAAAGACATAAACAAAGAACTACATCATACAATGAAATCTAAAACGCCTCCAGCTATACGAGTTAGCTTATAAAGGTTTAATATTTCTAATTTACACTTCATCCTGTTCAAGATGCCAGAAGACATCCCAGTGGTTGGGTTTCACTTCCAACCAATATATAATCGCAAAAACTTGTGGTTGCTGCGTTATCTGAACAATGTTCTTTCACTTATGTGACTTTGAGAATTCTTTTAAAATTTCAGTAAATGAATATGTGTACGTTTAATACTTTTTAAGTCCCAAAAGAAATAAACTGTTTTCCAAATGTAACAACGTTTTAAACAATATGCCGGGATGCTACTGGCAGAATAAAAGTAATCATCTTTTAGATAATTATAAATAGAAACAGTTTCCCAGAAGTTCTATTATGATTCAAAGAATGTTGACACGATTGGATCTTGATTTTCACTTCCACCCTAATGACTAAACAATTTTCTTGAGAAATTCTTTATTCGGAGTATGGATTGCGCATAAAAAAAACCACTCAAATTTAAATTAACCTTTTATTTTAAATCCATGTCAACTACTTGTCAATGTATTTATTTGCTAAATTGACTAACAAAAACGAACCTTTTTGTCGTCCTATAATACATAATACTTAAATTTAGAATTGCACAATTGGTTTCCGTAGTCAGTTCAGGGAGTTTTATCGATAATTTCTATGTATTCAGTGCCTATATGTTGATTAGCGTGTCTTTACAATTGCAGCTGCTTTATTTTTCTCTATAAAAGACATAGAGAGGAAGAAGTGAGGGGCTGGGGGCGATAAACGTTACTTGTATATATAAAATTGACTAGTGATGTCGACATTTTGCGATCTATCAACTATGAGAGACATGGCATATAAAACAAGCACCCCACGCGGTCGACTTGTTTGTCGTGTATATTTGAAAGCCGATTACCTGCCTCGGGACATCTACCTAGCTTCTTTTAAAATTGTATCCTACGGCACATTTGTTCGGCTAGAGGATAGCATTACATTTACCGTCTCTCATTATCACCACTCAATTTACTCCTATGCTAGAAAAATCTCGTGAAAGCTTGACTATTGACGGACCTTCATCAAGCGACAAGGGTAGATTTAGCTCCGGGGCATCAACCAGCTTCATTACAATGGTTTGTCGTTTTTTAGCAGCGAGATATTCATTGTGAAACGCCATTCTTATTTAATTATCCCGATTGCCAGGCTTAGTCCCCGAGGCCGTGGATCAAACGTTGAAAAACTTGTTTCTTGACAACATAACAATGTGTGGGTAATTTTAGCTGTGATAAGCAGAAAAAAAAAATCAAAAATCTAACACGAATATTATAACTACTTCAATAGACCTTATAAATTATAAGCTTCATTCCTATATATAGCGAAGACACGGGATTAGGATTAGCAAACACGCCTTCAGAGGAGTAAATTATTAAGTAAATTTACGCGGTTTGACATTATGTAAAGTTTGTTTCGAATTTTGCCGCGGGGCGTTTGTTACCTTGTCCCTAGCAACGGAGTAAATCTTAAACTATTGTGTATTAATGCCGATATAACGATGAACGCATTTACAAAAATTACTCGCTTAAAATAACAATAATAGACGAAAAGATTTGAGTATAATATTTTGAAAGCGACTGGCACATGCCGAAAGCTATCCATGTTTGAAGGTAAATACAAAAACAGTTAAAATAGAAAAGACAAAAAGTCGCCATAATAAATTGAATAAAGTGAAGAATCATACTGAAGATAGTTGAACCAGCTTTAAAAGTAGAAAGTCTGTATAAACTATTACGGGCAAGGGGATTTGAAGCTGAAGTAAAGATAGCCCGCGGGTGAAACATTTTCTCTTATTTCTTCATTTCAAGAACGAATGTGGCTCTATCGGGCGTGAACACTATGGGCCTTTGAAAAAGAACATTGTAATTATTGATAAAAGGCTTCAGGCATTTTGTACAGACTATAGTCTCTCTATGGAAAGTTCTTTATTTGTCGAACAACCATTTAAAATGTATTTCCATACAAGGTTTCTAGCTAATGGACTGAAATAAGAAAAAAAGATGGCTTATTTTCAATATAATATGACTTGTTCTTCTTTTTGCTTTTCATAATTCAAAACGAAAGTGCATCATGTACAGACTTTTCCCATACGCAACGCATCATCGATGGTGCCAAAATGTATTGGCAGGCAATCATATAGACGATGCGTTGTTAACATCATCATCATCATCATCATCTTAAGAAATTAAAAGATTTCCACTGTAGTGAACGAATGGATATATCAACACTGTTAGTAAATTTAGAGCATTTAATTAATTGCTTCTTTTATATCTTTATCTACAGTGGGGTGCAAACGTAAACTGGAAGTTGTTATCTCGTGGTTTACCACACCGTCGTAATCGGAAAATATAAATGACGATGGTTATGGCAGCAATGATGTAATTCACATCATAATCGATGATTTGACCCCGGAAGTAACACCTTTATTAGATTCGTGATTTGTTTCCCCACTTTTCACTTTGGATTTTAAAATGACTATGTAATTAGTAAATACTGTCCCGAGCGATTTTCATAAAAAAAATAATCTATGCTGTTTATTTGGAAAGTAGAAGCCCTAGTTCAATTTAAATGTTTTGTTCTCCTTTAGGTGCCCTCTCACCCCCATGTTGCTCTTTGGGCGAATCTTTACACGGCAGTAGTTTTGAGTCCACATGCACATTGTAGCCTAATATATACAAGCTATCACGTGTTAAAACACTATTCACGATTGGTAATATGTTGATGTGTTAAAAACTAATTGGCTCGACATTTTTTTTCTTCAACGTATCTCAAAGGCATGAGCATATCGGTTGTAATTTGTTCGTATCGCTGCTAACAAGCTGGTGTCGTTGTAGCGTATAAACTGAAGAGGTACTTGGCTTCTCATGCCTACTGGTGTAATAAGGAATCGGCTCATCTAAAAGAAGAGCTCAAGTGCCGTCAACCACCGGGCACAATACTATGGCCACTTGTTATTTCTACACAGTAATTATATGTAAATGCTACGAGTTATAAAAGTGGTTAATATACAGTCGCTATTTATAGGTTGTTCAATTATATTGTTACTTCTAATGTGGAGCATCATTGTTTTTCTTGTAGTGACGGGAGAATACCAACCAAGAGTCAAAAAGTTACCAGTATGGATACACAGATAGGTTGCCAGACAACGAATCAGCAGCAACTACGTCGTCCGCGCTGTTGCCACTATTTTCATGATTTTAAGTCTTAAAAATGATTTCTCACGAATTTTGCGCGGAAACACAAAGTTGAATTGGAGTCAAGGGCAATAGGTCCATGAACATAAGACATGACATATTCACTCAAGTTTCAAAGGGAGCTTTCATTAACAATAATTCTGCCAGGTTCTGAATGTCGATAGTATTCAAGTTTAGTCGAACAATCCAAACAATTTTGAATTAAAACCTACAGATTTCAATTACAAGGACAATAAATACGCAGGAAATTGATACATCCCAGTACCCGCTTCCACAATTACCACCACCAAACTTTTAACGAACACACACATTAGATGAAGATTACGGCCTAATACGATCGGTAAATACAATCATGTAAATGTTAAGTTAAGCAACAAACAATATGGACGCTCACCTGATGCTTATTTGAACACTTTTCAAATTTTCCGCAATATATTCAAATATTGAACGTGAGTCAAGAAAAATTTATTCAGTATTTGACATTAGATTACTGTGTATTATTCTGTCTCTATCTTGTAGATTAATTTGAATTTAATGATTTATTTTGTTTTTCGACATGTGTATCTTTCTACAAGTTTATATGTGTAGATTCAGCCAATTTTGAACCATGACCGATTTTATTTTCAATAGTCGACAGTTTTACGACCGTAAATTAAGAAAGCATGATCATCTTCCGTTTGCGGTATGGAAAGCAAGTTTAGGGGCTGTCCAACTCAAAAGATTAACCCACTTTAACACATTATTTCGATCTAAATCAAAGCGATTTTGATCCCTTAAAGATTAAAAAAGTTCAATTTATTCCTGCTAAAACCGGTATGCTTCCAAATAACTGAAATAGATTTGTTTTGCAATATAATTAAACAAACGCTTGAAGGGGAAGTAAGATTGATTTTAATGGTTCATTACCATCCCCTAATTGGTAGCTAGTAGCTGGGATGTTAGGCTACATATACGTAGCTTGAGGTAAAACACACAGACACACAGTAATATACTGTACTCAACTACAACAATAATTCTTGTTTTCTTATAAAGGGCTCACATGTTTCAAGCTATATATACATTAACTCAAATATAGTGGTGTTACAGGTAGAGCCAGACTGCTATAACCACAGTGTTATATTTGTGGGAAAATAGGGAATTTAAGATTTTAAAGATGCATCATGCAAAATCTAAATAGGCTAATTGCATGTGCTTTTTCTGGATTTAAATGATATACTGGTTATTATTTAGACATTTACTCACATGTCAATTCACTTTGATATCGAGTGGATTAAACAATGCCTGCTATATCTTGAAGAACTGAAAATCGAGAATTGTTTTACAATCGTAGCAATGGTACTTGGCAATCGTGAATATGAACTGGCAATCGGCGGACACAATTCCGACTATTTGTTCGCTCAGAATAAAATAATTTGATTGAAATTTTCAATATACATTTTTCATTATCTTGTTCTTAACTATTTAGCAAGAACGATCGTCCCATACCTAAATAAACGCCCTTTAACGTTATAACACACAACGCCTTAATACATTTAATTATCACCATTAAAAGTTTTGAACTCATATGGGTTCGTATTGGGATAAATGGGTTTCAAGGGGTAAGTACCAGATACCATACCCCAGATTGCATAGGACTGGGTACAGAAAGGTGGGTTTACGAATGTAAATCAAAAGCAAACATGTAACGATATACCTTTCCCCTTGTAATGCAATGGGGTGCGCTTTAACGTCCTACTTTCTGCAGCAACTGCTTGACACTTTGGAATATATAGACATGTAAATATTTGAACTGAAAGTTATACCCCGCTAAATAAGAAATTCGCGATTAGTGTGGATTTTCATTTTCTCTGTAACTTTAAGTACATTGTATAATCAAGAAAAACGCTCCACATAAACCCGACATTTTCTTTTCCAGAATAGATCTTGAACTTAGGGCGACTAAACGGGTATGGGGTATATCAGCTTTCATCCTTAGTGATATACAGACAAATATTTCTACCAGCAGTATTTTTGAGCTTTTAGTCAAATGAGCCGTAATAAAAACTATAAAATACTACCGGTTGAAATATTTATCACAATAAGCTTGAATACAAGCTTTTACCCAGTATTTCCTACATCCACTTATCTACACCCACTCACTGACAATAAAATGTCTCCTTTAAAAAATTGAAACAATCAGATACAGATAACAATATGACAATCATTTTGGCCAGATCGATATTTTTAACTCTCATATTTAAGAGTAAAACGAGTATTTAAAACCCACTCCAATGATCAGGCCTAGATTAATCTTGTATATGGCCCCTGGCTGAAAAGGCCTCTAGGTATCTGGCATCAACATTGAAAAGGGCACATATCCTGGTCATTGTTAGTTACCCCCCAACTAAATAGATTTATCTGACACAAACATATACAACATAATAAATGACATTTATAGATGGTACCAAAATTTCTTGAACTAATTTGAGGGGGGGGGGGGTGGCTGCAGTCCAATCACCCCATTCCTTTTTAATCCGGCCCTGCCGATGATACATTTCGCCATGATTTAGGCTAGTCGAGATTGGAGGGGGGGGGGAGGGGGTGATTACACGCGGAAGGGATGCCCAGTTGGTAGGTATGGGGTCCCATTAAGATTTAGGCCGACACTAGGGCAAATCACTAGACACTCTACCCTGACAGAATAGTTCGATGAAATGTCGTTTATTGTTTATACTGCTTTATGGTTAGGTGTCTACCAGCTATTGAAAGAAAACGAAGTCTCTATGCATTTATTGATCACATCATTATCTATGGGGCTATTCAGGTTACATGTCGATTTACTTATAAAGATAGAGATATAACCTGTATGGTTATTCGACTATTGTATAGACTAAAACATCCTTGGTGTTGCTTCTAATTTGTTTTTAGAATTATTGAGGAAGCTACTGATTGTTCATATTAAAATGTTTCATTTGGCGACAAATGCTTGCAGCGAAAAATGTCTCTTTAACTGACAGCATTCTGTGATTTAGAAATCGATAATGATAAATCGATTTTAGGGATGATGTGGTTTTGTATAATACATACCGTGTAAGTGTTTCAAGTGATGACGTATATATGACTCCTCCTACATCAATATGTACTGGAGCTGTATAACGAGTGGGCGTGGCTGGACATGGTACTCCTGATATCTTGTTAAAATGGCCATTTGGAGTTGTCGCCGATGATGGCCGTGACGTCACGGGCGATGACATGTTGGTCATATAGAATTTTCAGCGATAAATATCTAAAACGAAAATAAATAAAAATATCATTTAATGGGCCTTGTTTGGCACAACTGTATATTCATCTGACATTATTTCGACATTATAGCGCGAGGCGTTAAACCCCATTTCATTTCATTTCGATATGTTAGTTCATAAACGCCCTAGCTCTGTTAAAAGTGTGATTATGTTATTTTCTTTCTTCATAGTTTGACCTTTGAACCAGGAATACCAAAGAATCGAAATCTGATAGAAAGTTGACGAGAGTGCGTCTGTGTGTCCAGAGGGGTGGGGGTGGGGGATAGGGGGTAACCGAAGGAAAGGGGTGTTGTGGATAGTAAATCAATGAGTGGGATCTAACATTTTCTCACAATGCTTATACATGTAGGACATTTTAATCTAACCACCTTCGATGGTTACACTTGAGCATAACTTTTGTTATAAATTATTTGACCATGGCAGTGGTGTTCCCTTCACATGGTGCTTTTTATCAACCAATTTTAATCTTTGCCTAGATTTACTACTATGAATGAATTACATGTATATTGACAGGTGGCGAAATACCTAGGGAGGTGGGTAGCAAAAGAGATGGAATAACAACGTTGCGGTACGTCACCCACATACCTATATCTGTGTTGTAAAAAATTATTTACCAAGACTGTTCGCACCGAACTGTGTACATCATAAGAAAGATTTGATAAAATTCTCAGCTAATAGTAATTCAGAGTACATTTTACGTTTATTCTATATAATATAAACCCATCCTACCCCCTGCCCCCCACACCCGTCCCCCTTTCCCCCCGAAAAAGGCTAGAGTAGATGGATGAGGTGGGTTCAAAACTCGAGAACTAAAGGTAAGTAAAAAAAAATATGGTTTATTGATAATAAATCAAAACCCTTTGATTGCTAAGTATGTTCCTATAATATATAATTTAGTTTTCAATTACGTATATTAGATCTATACCTAAGAGATTTAACAGTTAGACGTATGTGTGGGCAGACTTTGAATTATGAACCGAATGGTTAGTTTGTAACTTGACGATAGAGTGATAAATATACTAAAATAAACATACCTTATTAAATATACTGATATATTCCATATAATATAGAAAATTTTATTTTTTGTTCGAACATTAACCCAGCTGCTACAAGAAACCTAGTAAAACTGAGCTGACTGTGTCGGCCGATAGAGTTTTTACTCGCGGGATCGCCTCGGGGCAAAACCGTATTTCGCGCGAGCTGCTAAGACTAGCTCGCACTGCCATGACGACGCCCCGCGTGCTGCAAATAGTGTCTATCTATATTATTCATTTTTATAATATATAAAATGGCGATTTTAATAGCGTTTGAAATTTTCGGAAAAACATTAAAGCTGAAGATGACTAGATTAAATATGGCTGACGTGATAAAATTTAATAAATTTATATAAATAAGATTAAAAGGCACAGACTGATTGTAGGAAGACTGTAAAAGTTACCAGTGTAAACGTGTTAGATATTAAATTCTCAGGTATGATCATCTTTAAAGACCATATGATAAATGTAGATATTGGGTTTATATACAGACTTTATTTATTGATTTTAATGCATTGTACTAAAGTCAGCATATTATGTTTCTAGGTGTCTACTAGAACTATTGAATAGAAATGAAATGAAATGAAATAGGGATTAACGTCCTGGTCAGGCCCTCCATTCTGCAACACTGACAAGGGGAAACCACGCCGGAAACTATTGAATAGAATGAACAGTACTCTTCTCGAATAAAGATAAGATGTCAGTGTACATTGGTGATCAAACACTAAAATAAAACACGCTGTCACGGCAATATCAACGTCATTTCCCTGCTCTTATATCGAATTCCAACTGTCAAGGGATTGTTCACGTGTACGCCAGTGTGTACACGGAACCTCAGTTATTCTTACCATAAAAACGACTAGACAGCTGTCTTTGTCAGGCCCTCCGTCCTACACCACTAAAAATCTCGATGAACTTTCTTCTCGGCCAGCACCGGGATCGAACCCTCAGCTCAAGGGTAGCAAGCCAGCGTTTTACTCACTTAGCCACCGCCCCGCCCCGCCCCCCCCCCCCACCCCCCCCCCCACACACACACACACGCACGCACGCTCAAGGTCCCGCAATACTGACTTATGAAATTATCCTGATTTTCGGAAAGGGCTGGAGTTGGGGGGGGGGGGGAGGACGTATCTATGAATGGATATTATGCATAATATACCAGTTTGTATAGTTTCTATCATAGGGGTTATTTTAAGAAATCTAACTTTTTAATATGAGCATTATTATCTTTATAATATATTATATTAATACGGTTATTGGAAGAAAAGTTGCGACAGTTTTGCGTGGTGAGCGTGCACTGGCAGTAAGTACATTAAGGAAGGCAGTCTGTCGAATAGGATCCTTGGGAAATTAGAAATAATAAAAATTTGGGCTTATTGTCTAATCAAGAATTTTCTAGTCTAGTTTGGCCAGAGGTATATGGGAACGAGAGCAGAAAACTTAACCGCTTACCATAATTACTCCAATACAAGCTTCCGCCTGCAGCCACAAATTTATACAAATTACCGATCACTAATACTAGAATTATTTCTGACAGGCAGCCAAAAACTGGGTAGTTTCTTGCGGCTATGCTAATTATCATGTAATCCATGGGAACAAAGACGGCAAGCAGACTCTACTAGTTTTCGTATAGCTAAGAGGGCAGAACGTCGAGAGACAAATTTCAACTTAAAGATCAAAGTATAAAACAGAAATAAAGTATGTCTGAAATACTCATAATATGTCCTTCACAGAGACGAATTTATTTATTAATCATCATTTCTTTAATTGACTTGAAATAATCCGACTGGTGGCCATTGAAGAGACATTTACCGCTTTAGTTTACTCAGGGAAGGGTATCGAAAGTATAGGCCTCTTGTGTTGGTGCTGTAATAATAAGAGTAAAGGACATCGATTGATTTCTTGGTTTGAACAACCTGCAATAATCATATGTTAATAAGGAAATTTGCGTCATGTCAAAGCCTAAGTCGACTTATCAGTTGAAATTTTATCCTTTTTTTTCATTGGCACCAAGATATGTGATTTAAATAGAAATTATTGGTCTGTTAATATGGCTAAATACGTCATGTCAGCCTTTGGTGTGGAACTATCATGAGTGACATGTGCTATAGGTGGGGTATGCATATTATTTATTAGAACGCTTGTGATAACATTTCTCATTTTAAGGTTATATTTTTACATGTATAAATATGTGTGCTGTGCATGTTGTAGAAGGCCCATAATGACTAATGTTAATTTTCTTTTGGCAATGTGGTGAAGAGCGGTTAATTTTCTATGTTCGATTCAGCGGGGGTCACGGTAGCCATGGTGGCTCAGTGAGAAAGGCACTGAGTCACTGCCCAGGAGGTCCAGGGTTCGCAGGGTCATATTAACGCATTAACTTTGAGGGTTGCAGAGATATAAAGCTTTAAAGCTTAATTTCATTTGAGAGTGCAAAATCTAAATATAAATTATCTATTTAAAGAGGTACAATTACTGTAAACAAAACCCTACGTGTGTAACGGACGAAGCGTCCGGTCAACCCGTTGTTTACAGATTATAGTAGCTAGATTACAACTTTGTGCGCTCTTGCGACTACAAATTCGTCAGTTTTTGAAGTCAATTTTATGAAGCAAATCACTTTCACTCAGTGCAAAGAAGTGTTAGTATACCAAGACATCCGTCAGGAACATTGGAAATATTCACACTTCTTCTTCCACTACTAAATAAAGATTTACGAACGGCTGAACGAGCTATAAGGATCATCTTTTTACAAAACCGCGAATTTTCACCTGAACTTCACTAGTTATTTTCGGCTATTTTTCGTTGGTCTAGGCATGTTTATATTTATTTGAAATACAAATCAAACAGCAATGAGCAATTGCGAAATCAATGAGAAAATTGCGATATTACTTACGTAAACAAAACCCCACGTGTGTAAAGGGACGAAGCGTCCGGTCAACCTGTTGCCGGGCAATACAGAGTATGCAAATGCGTAGATAAAAATAAAGGTAAGCATTTTTGTCATCACATGATAATTTACTCTATTTCTTTGTGGCCTGGATTTTTGGCTGGCTTTAAGGCACGTTCCTTATTTGCCTAATGGTTAATCCGACATTGGGCCTCACAGTGTCTGTATCCCAGGGGACTTCAAAGTCTTAATCCGGGTCTGTTGGTTCTATCCCGGTATTGGCCGATAAAGTTCCTCGGGAATTTTCAGAGTGGTTTCCCCTTGTTATTGGTACAGGACGAAGATCCTGGCAAGGAACAGCGTCTAGTCGATCGGATGGGCAAAAAAAACCCCTGGTTCTGAGTAGGCCTACATATTAAAGTACAGGTAAAAGAGCCCTTGACAGTTGGAATTAGATGAAGAGTGGACGAAAACACCGCTGTTAAATTCCCCTGAATGGCGGCGTATGCCCGTCTTCACGGTAAACCTTATTTCATTTCATCTCATTTTTAACACGCGTACGTTATTAAAGGACAATATTGGTGTAAGTCATTATCACATATGTGATAGAACTGGTTAAACGCGTTCCAAATATTATTTTGTCACAGAGATCATTGGTACGATAGATGAGTAATCCATGTTTCAACAATAGGAAGTGACGAAGGCAAAAGGAAAACACGATTTATCCCTCTATGTAACTGGCTGAAGTGACGGGTGATAACAGATACATGGGCGAATTTCTGCTCACTAAAAATTCCTTCGAAGACCAAAAGTTGTTATATGAGACTGTAAGAGTATATCTGACAATTCAAAAAAGTAATTGCATGTCATTAGATAAGAGAACAAGAGAAAAATAGAAACAGTCCGTACATTCACGGGTGTTTATTCATTCTATACTTATAAAAACGTGGTGTAATGCACGGACTTTTTCTATTTTTCTTTCATGTTCTCTTATCTAGTGAGAGTCAATTTTGTTTATGAATTGTCAGATATCCT